CTCCTCCTCGCTGGGCATCCGGCCCGACGGGAAGCCCAGCAATGCGCGGGCATGCCCGAGGTCCAGGACCCCGCCTGCCGCGGAGCCCCCCCCCTCTCCCCTGGGCTGCCTCCGCCCTCACAACTCCCCCCCTGCCCCTCGTCCTCGTCCTCGTCTTCCTCGTCTTCGTCGGCGTCCTCCTCCTCCTCCTCCTCCTCCTCCTCCTCCTCCTCGTCCTCGTCCTCCCCCTCCTCCTCCCTGCAATTCGCGCTTCCTGCTCCTCCTCCTCCTCCTCTTACTCCGTCTCCCTTCGTCTCGTCCCCCCTCGTTTTCTTCCATTACTCCCCCTGGTCCTTCCCGCAGTTCCTCCTCTTCTTCCTCGTCGTCGTCGTCGTCCTCCTCCTCCTCCTCCTCCCTCTCTCCCGTTCTCCTCCCCTCTTGGACAGGCTGCAGAGGGATGCCAAAAATCTCAAGGCTCTCCAAGATTGCCCCAGAGGTCCCCGAACAGCCCCCCAAGTGACCCAACAAAACCCCAAGAGAGCTCCTGAATGGGAACGCCTGGCCCAAACGGGGCCCAATACGCCCGGACAGTTGCTGAACACACAACCTGCCCACTATCCACCCCTCCATCCCTCTATTCATCACCCCTCTCCTCCTAATCCATGAACTCGCCTTTGCTTCCCTCCTCCAGGCCTAAGATCACTCCACCAATCCATACTCATCTCCATCCCTCCCTCCCTCACCCATGCATCAATGCCTCCATCTATCCTCCCTCCATCCCATCTCCCTCGACATCATCCGAACTTCCTCCACCCCTGCACTCCTCAATCCTTCTATGCCTCCGTCACTCCTCCATGAGGTCATTGATGACTTATCAGACCTCTGCGACGGCGCAACGTGTCCACACAAAACCGCCAACAGACCAGAACAGACCCAGACTGCCAAGTGGTGTTGGCAAACGAACGGTGTTCAAGAGATGGTGGAATTGAGATGTACTCGACCGAACCAAGTTTCGAGACGTCCCAAAGGAGACCACTCATACACTATTCAAGGGGGCAGCGGATGTGGCGCAAGCATATGGCATACTTTAGGTTTAAATGGGAAATTCTCACTTCGCGAGATCCTTGCAATTGGCCATTGGGAAACAGCTGCTGCGGCACAGGTGACCAGATATACTTCGGGGGATTCATGCTGGATCCAGAGTGGCTCCAACACTCATTCCAGAAAGACTCCACGTAGGTCGCACCCTCACGCCACATGGTTGCCGAACCTGCCATGGAATGAAACTCGGCCTCCACAACATCGGGGTAGTGTTCCTCAATGTTTCCTGGTAGCCGGTAATGCAACCATCACACCTGGATGTTCACACGAACAGAGATCTTGCCTGCTGTCTGGGTCCATGCTGTTTAGACCCATGCTGACCGAAGATGCCCTGACCCGGTTGCCATTTAGGGCGCCCACAGGGGCACTTTGAAAACGCTCCATCCCACAGCTCTTGATTTGCTGCTCATCGCACGCCCCTTCCGAAAATGAACGAGTGTCGCCAGTAGCAGATGTATGCAGTACGTGGTCCACGCACATGCGCAAGACTAACGTCAGCATGCATGCGAGTGCGGCCATCCTGGCATCCTGTGCTCCAACGCCCCCACGCTCCCTGAACAGCACGAACATATCACTTGACCACAGGACGGTTGGAGAACACGGGGGTGGGGAGACAGGCGTGCCTCTCCTCACCCTGCCCATCCTCCTCGTTCTCCAGTTGGTTCCTCGTCCTGCTCATCCCGCCCCTCCTCTGTCTCGTCCTGAGGGGATAGAGACCTCACGGCCATCGAGGTTCCCAGGAGGACCCAGGAGGCACCCAAGCTGGCGCCAAAAGGGGGCCAAACACACAACCGCGTCATCGCCGCGCCGCCCGAAGCCGCCTCCCCAGGAAATCCCGACACCTCGAATAAGCCCTGAGAGGCCCCGCAATAAGGCCCCTCAGAAGCCCGCCCCACAGCTCTAAAGGGGCCTCGAGGGACTTCCAAGAGGACTCCCAAGCTCAGGCGCAGCGGCCGGGTGGGCCGAAGGCCACGATATGTTTCTAAGCAGCATGTGGAAGACACCTCATGCAATTCACATGTGCCAGATTTGCAATTCAATTATTCTGCGGCCAGATTTGCACTTCAACTTCTCTCCCGCGGGAGTAAACCTAAATTCCGTTGCGGTGGATTCAACAATTGCGGGGGGAACGACCCAATACAAGTACACATTTTTTGCTCACATCATCACTCCTGGTCACAATAATCAGGAAAAGGGTGAGCAGACGAATGCCACTTCTTTGAATTCATATTGACACGATCGGAATCGAACGTCGTGCTGCAGATCAAATTTGGATGCCTGGTGCTGCGATGATAGTTATCCTACCCGAAACCTAAGGCTGCCACGTGTGCCGCCCGTTTCCATCCCGCCTCCGCACTGTCCCCTGCCTCGCCTGGCCCTCATCTGTATGGTGCTCGGGAGTAGGTTGGATCGGACGCGCCGCACGAGCGCCAGCGTCACGACAGCAACAACACCAAACTTATGTCCAATCCCCCCCCTCCCCTTCCTCCTTCCTCCTCCTGCCTCCGTCCTCCATCCTTCCTCCCTGTTCCCTCCTTCCTGGTCACCCCCAAGATCTGCAAAACAGAACATCGGAAGTGCTGCGGGCAAATCGAAGACCGAACGATTTGAGAACTGTGTCTCAGTGAGACATAAGACGTCCCGTGGTGACTACCCCGTCGTCAACCAAGAGCCCACCGAGCAGCTCTCTTTGATCAACTCGGGGACGACTCAAACCATGCTCGAACCCTCTTAGCCGCAGCGGCGCTACCCGTGCCGAAGATTGAGCGGTGGCGCCGTTCACGCTGAACTCCAGGTGCGGGAAGGCGCGGCAGAGCTCGAGCACCTCGCGGCGACTTGGCGGCGGCATCAACGTCAACTGCCTAAACGACGTCTCTACCGGGCCCTGTTGGCAGCCGCTGCAGGACGGTTTGAAGGATGGGGGACACGGGTCCTGATGGAAACGGGTCCTGGACCATGTGGCCTTCCCCCAGGACGAATCTTCATCCAGAGTCGCCCGCGAAGCTCAAAAACGGTGAAACACCTCAGGACACGTTTTCCTCAGGACCCGCTTTCCCCATGTAGAAGTCAAAAAGTCCCCCCCCCATAATAAGCACCCCGACGCGCGCAGTCGTTTAGTAAACGCGCCCAAAGAAGACATCAAACAGGGCAGGGCTGTTTAGTAAACGCCCAAGGCCATTTAGTAAACAGTAAACGCCAATTGTCTGGTCCGGGTGGTTTTTCCTCCCTTGACCATGGAGAGTCTTGGGCCGTCCTGGGAAGCTCCCTCGGGCCATCACCGCTTCTTTGGGCCGCCCTGGGGGCCTCCAGCAGAGCTGTCCGAAGGGCACCGCCAGCCTGGCGCTGCCCGACGACTGAGGGCAGCGCGGGCGCGGACTCTCTGGCCATAGATGTGCCCAGCCTCGTTCGGGCGGGTTGGCTCGGGGGGGGGGGCATCGACCTGGATTCGGCTATATATATATATATATATATATATATATATATATACACATACACATATATATACAAGACTGCAGTGGCGCTTCGCGCCATGCACCTTGGTCCTTGAAGTTTGGTATGCAGGCGGAATAGCAGGAAGGTCAAGCCGACAATTTAGCGATAACTCCTGGTTGCCTTTTCTGGCATCGCCGCTATAATAATGTTATTCGTTATCCTTCCTCCATGCTTATTTTTCCTTATTTTCGCCATGCACTGCGCATTCTCCCCATCCTCCTCAGCTCTTTTTTGCGGAGGCTCCTCCTTGGAGAGCCTCTGGGGGCCTCACAACAGTTGTTTCAGGCTTTCTTAAGGCCTTCTGGAGACCTCCTGGGGGTATTCTGGGGGCCTCCGGGGGCTTCCTCGGGCCACCCTGTCTCCAACCGCGGTCTCCCTGAACGACCGAATCACGAATTGGAATTCTTCGGAGGGTGTCTTTGGGTCATCTTAGGCCGCCATGGGGCTCTCTGAGGGCCATCTTGGACCCGTGTTGTGCCGTTTTGGGGCTCTCTTAGACTGCCTGGAAGCCCTTACGGATGGTTGTGGGGTGATTTTGGAGCCTCCCAGGCGGCTTCGGACGCCCAGAAGACCGCCGTCTTGGAGTGTCGGGAAGCCGAAAAGAGGAGAACCCTAAAATTAACCAAAACCCACAGATTTTTGCCTGGGGGGGCTTCTTGGGAGTGCTCTTGGAAGCCTATTTGGGGCCGTCCTGGAGGCCTCTTGGGCCATCTTGAGGTCACGTCGGTCACTCTTGGAGCGCTCTTGTGCTGTCTTGGGGGTCTCTGGGACGTCTCCGATGACCCCCCTGATCGCCCTAGGTGTGCTGGGAAGGCTTGGCAAAACGCCATGTGAGGCCCGGTGGCCGCTTCGAGGCCCGTCTGGAGGGTCCCAAAGCCCCAGATCCCCGGAGTCCGGTTTTTTGGGGGGGTGATGGGTTGCCCCCCCCCGGGCTTGTAAAAAGATAGGAAAAGGAACATGTATGCACGAACATATAGTATAATGTATATACATGTATATATATATATACATATACAAGTATGTACACATATACACATATATATATACATATATCCACACACATATACATACATACATACATACATACATACATACATACATACATACATACATATATACATACACACACATACATACATACACACACATACATACATACGTACGACCGTACGTACGTACGTACGTACACAAGTACGTACGTACATACATACATACATACATACATATAATATCATACATATTATATATATATATATATAGCGGGTAGATCGGCGATAGGCACCGGGCAGCAGATCAGCATGTTCCTGGGGCGGGTGGGGCTATCGGGCCCGAATCGGCCGCGAATGGGCGATTGGGGGTCGATGTGCCCCCCCCCCCTACCCCCCACCCCCCGAACCTTGCCCCAGAAAGGGGCCAGAAGCCTTCCAAATCGGGCCGGGGTAATCAAAACGATGTGCCCGGATCGCGCCGCGTCGCCTGTGCATAAACAGTGCATCTCGGCGACACTAGCAGGCATATCATATCGGCCGAGTGGTCGCGGGGGTGACCTGCAAAGGTGGTAAAGAACATGACCCTAAAAGGACCCTTTGGGGCCCTTTTTGGGTTCCTGTTGACTCCAGAAAAAGAGGGTCACTAAACGGCGATTTAAGGACATTTTCTTCACCCCCCATTTAACATCCCCCAAAAAGGAGAAGGAACAGGAGGAAAAGGAAGAAGAAGGAGGAGGAGGAGAAGCAGATATTATACAACACGGAGCAGGTTGAGGGAGGAGGAGGAGGAAGAGAGGTAAGAGGAGGAGGAGGAGGAGGAGGAGGAGAAGGAGGAGGAAAAGGAAGAGGAGGAGGAGGAGGAGAGGAGAAGAGGAGGAGGAGGAAGAGGAGGAGGAGGAGGAGGAGGGAGGAGGAGGAGGAGGAGAGGGAGGAGCGGGAGGAGGAGGAGGAGGAAGAGGAGGTGGAGGAGGAGGAGGGTGGAGGAGGAGAGAGGAGGGGAGGAGGAGGAGAGGAGGAGGAGGAGGAGGAGGAAGAGAGGAGGGAGGAGGAGAGGAGGGAGGAGAGGAGGAGGAGGAGGAGAGGAGGAGGTGAAATGGGAGAATGAGGAGGAGGAGTGAGGAGGAGGAGGAGGAGGAGGAAAAGGAGGAGGACGATAGGAGGAGGAGGAGGAGGAGGAGGAGGAGGGAAGGAGGAGGAGGAGGAAGAGGAGGAGGAGAGGAAAAAGAGGAGGAGGAGAGGAGGAGGAAGAGGAGGAGGAGGAGAGGAGGAGGAGGAGGAGGAGGAGGAGGAGGAGGGAAGAGGAGGCGGAGGAGGAGGAGGAGGAGGAGGAGGAGGGGGAGGAGGAGGAGGAAGAGGAGGAGGGGGAGGAGGAGGGGAGAAGAGGAAGAGGAAAAGGAGGCGGAGGCGGAGGCGGAGGAGGATGAGGAGGAGGAGGAGGAGGAGGAAGAGGAGAGGGAGGAGGAGGAGGAGGAGGAGGAGGAGGAGGAGGAGGAGGAGGAGGAGGAGGAGGAGGAGGAATAGGAATAGGAATAACCCTGGGGCGCCGCACCGTCCATCCAGCCTGCCAGGAGGGCGCCTAGGTTCTACTACTGCAGGCCGAGAGTGCCGCCTGCGCGCTGGCCAGCGCCACAGTGGGGCTGGCTCGGGCCCAGTGGCGCACCCAATGGCGCGCAGCCAAGCGGCTGCCACCATCAGCACCGTCCTCAGGGAAGCTCTTGCCTGAGTGACGCACACACGGAAGGGGGGAGAAGCAAAGCACCAGGTGCCTTGCCCCTCCCCCCGAGGGACGAGGAGGGAGCACCACAAGAAGCACCCTCAAGGCAGAGGGGCCCGCGGCCCACCCCTACCTCGAGAGCGGCATCGAGCGGCGCCCCTTCCACGCCCCTTAGCCCCCCTGCCGCGGTTGACAGGGGGTCGAACATCAAGTGCAACAGCTGGCCCCATTTCAGAGGCATTCTGAATCGTGTACATTAGAGGGGGAGGTTCAGAAGGGGGCTCCAGGCCAGGAGGAGGAGGAATGGGGCGAGGTAGAAGCAACACAGGAGCAGGCGGAGCTGCTAAGCCTTGGACGCGACGGGTCGCCTCCTCAGAAAGATGACCAGCACGCAGATGTCCGCGCACACGGTCGCTCTGGCTCCAGTCGAAGCCGCTGGAAGAAGAGCCGCGACCACCAATCACTTGGCCACGTCCAGCGGCCGCTGCGCCTCTCGCACGAGCACCCCGCGAGGCGCCCCTCCTATCGTCTCGGTGCCGCCCTCGGCGCGCAGCGTCGCCCTGATCGCCTTCAGCAGGCCGCCCGCTTCTTGAGTCTCGCCCGCCAGCAGGAACTGCACCTTCACCATGTCCTCGCCCTCCGAAGACTTGCTCTTGATCCGCTTGGCTTTGCAAAAACGGATCGCGTCCGCCAGCTCCTCGGGCTCCGTGATCTTCAGCGCGGCCTGCTCCCAGAAGGCGCGGGCCGCCTTCCTGTCCTCCGCCAAGAGCATGTCCCCCTCGGGCTTCGTCGCCGCCCCCTGCACCAACGCCGTGAAGACACGGAGGTGGGGCGCACGCAGCTTTTTTTTCGTGTAGGACGGGCCCTGCTTCTCCTTCTCGCGCTCCTCCTGCGCCTCCGAGTTGAAGGCCTGGTTCCCCTCGAGCATCAGCTGCGCGGTCGGGGAGTCGACCTTGCACAGCCACGTGCCGTACATCGCTCCGATGAGCGCCCGCAGCTCCGCCTCGTCGCTCAGCGCCAGCTTTGCGAGGGCGATGGCCAGCTCGCCCAGTTTTTTTTTTTTTTTTTTTTTTTTTTTTTTTTTTTTTTTTTTTTTTTTTTTTTTTTTTTTTTTTTTTTTCCCTTCCACCTTTGGCGGATCCGCGGGCAGCGCCGCCTCCCTTCTCTCCTGCCTTCGGCTTCTTGGACGACGGCGCCTCCTCTGACAACTTGGCCATCCAGCCTGGGCGCGCGAGCGACGACATGGCTCGCAGGCGCCTCACCAGCAACAATGTAGCAGTGTCGGTGTCGATCGTAGATAGGTAGCTCTCGAGGAAAATGAATACGGACGTGAAGCTGGTAACTCTTAAGATCAGATCCATGAAACTCACAAAGTAAGCATTGTAGATCATTAGGCTCATGCAGGGGCTCTTGAGTGCGCCCCCGCCCGAATAACAGCAGCCTCTATTCATGGAACCAGCCAAATGACGACTCGCCGTGATGGTGCTAGAGAAGACCTCAAGGCAGTTGGGGCACTGGTTGGTTTTGCAAAGGACGTGCCCGAGAGACCGAATCCCATGATGAAACCTCATATGATTAAGGGCCGCTTTCTTATCGGGTAGAACTTCACCACAAACTTGTTTAGCTCCA